CATTTTTTGTAAAGGGCCAGATAGTAAATATTTTAGGCCTTGAGTCTGTCACAACTAAATAACTCTGCCATTATTGTGCAAAAGTAGCCATAGAAAATGTGTAAGTGGGCCAGGCACGGAGGCTCATGCCTATTATCCCAGCACTTTGGGAGGCTGAGGTGCCTGGATCACTTGAGGCCAGGAAATCAAGACCAGTCTGGCCAACATAGTGAAACCACGTCTCTACTAAAAGTACAAAAAAAATTAGCTGGGCTTGGTGGCATAGGCCTATAATCTCAGCTACTTGGGAGGCTGAGGCACCAGAATTGCTTGAACCCGAGAGGTGGAAGTTGCTGTGAGCCAAGATTGAGCCACTGCACTCTAGCCTGGGCAACAGAGTGACACTCTGTCTCCAAAAAAAAAAAAAAATGGAAGTGTGTAAGTGGATAACTCTGGCCATGTTCCATTAAAACTTTATTTATGAACTGAAATTTAAATCTCATAATTTTCACATCGCAAAATACTCTTTTAATTATTTTCCAACTGTTTACAAAGTAAAAAGCATTCTTAGCTTGCAGGCCATACACAAGGAGGTGCCAGGTTGGAATTAGACCCTGCTGACTGTATTCGTGGATCCTTGGCTGAGGATATGGTCAATTTTAAAAAGTATTCTGTACATGCTTGAAATGTGTTTTCTGCAATTGTTGGGTAGAGTATTTTATATGTTTCCGTTATGATGAGTTTGTTAGTTGTCTCGTTCAGATCCTCTGTATTCTTGCTGTTTTCTGGAAAACGTTTCCTTGGAAATATATTAATATTGAAAAGGACACAAATTGTAAGTGTACAGCATGATGGATGTTTTCAAAGTGAACACACTTGTGTAATACCACCCCAGATCAAAATAGAGGATATTGCCAGCCCCCAAAATTCTCACTTGTGCCCCATCTCAATCACTAATACAATGAAGAAGTGGCCGCTATTCTGACTTTTGGGCCTGTTGATTCATTTTACTTGATTTTGAACTTTCTGGGAATGGAATTATGTAGTATGAACTTTTTAGTGTCTGTTTCTTTCACTCATCATTGTATTTGAATTATTTTCATGATGTTACATGTAGTTGTGGTTTATTCATTTTCATTACTGTGGAATATTCTGTTGGGTGAATATAACACAAACTTTTAATTTGTTCTCCTCTGGGTGGACCTTGTAGTTGTGTTCTGTTTGGTGAATATGTGTAACTTGCCTTTTCATTTTTGTGATGGGCAGAGTTTCAGAAATTTATATAAAGTCCAATGTATTTTCTTTCTTTTATGATTTATGCCTTTTGTACCCTGAAAAATCCTTGCCTATCCTAAGGTCGTGGTGATTTTCTCATGTTTTTTTTTTGGAAGCTTTATGGTTTTAGCTTTAATATTTCAGTCTATAATCCTCTCAATTTTTGTGTGTGATATGAGATGAAGGTCGAGGTTCACTTTTCCATATGGCTTTCCAGTTGTTCCAATGTCTTTATTGAAACAGACTTTTTTCTTCCACCAAACTGATATGCTACCTTTAGTGCAAATCAATTACCATGTAGGTATGACTCTATTCTTGGACTCTGTATTCTGTTTTATTGAAATATTTGTTTATCCTGGTACCACTATAATGATTTCTTTATTATTATATTTTTATAGTGTGCCTTGAAATTAGGTAATATAAGTCTTATTATTATCATCTTGACTAATTTCTGTTTTTTCATTTCCATGTGAACTTAGAAGTATTTGGTACATGTATATTTTTTAAAAGCTTGCCAGAATTTTGATTGGGTTTTGTTGAATCTATAGCTTAATTTTAGCAGAATTGATATCTTAACAATATTGAAACTTCCAGTCCATGAACATTGTACATCTTTCCATTTATTTAACTTGTCTTTAATTTATCTCATCACTGTTTGGTAGTTTTCAATATAGATGTCTTCCATATTCTTTTATCAAATTTATTCTATTTTGATGCAATTATAAACAATGTTTTTACAGGTCTTTTCCCAATCGTTGGTTGCTAACATTCAGAAATATAATTGATTTGAGGAGTGTATTGTTTTCTGAGACTTATCAAAATTCACTCACTAGTTCTAATTAAATTTCTTTGGACTTTTCATATACATAATTGTGTTATCTGTGAATAAAAACAATTCTACTTCTTTCTAACCTTTATGTTCCCTTCGTCTCCCCTACCCTTCTTTCTTTCTCTTAATTTTCTTTATTGTAGTGACTAGGATCTTCAAAAATGTTGAGTAGAAGAGGTGAACATAGACATCCTTGCCTTTTCAGATCCCTTTTAGAAAACACTTAATCTTTCGTCATTAATTATGACACCTTTTTCCCCCTTTAAGCTCTCATTAAGTTGGGGTATTTCCCTTCTATTCCTGGTTTGCTGAGCGATTTTGTTCTGTTTCGTTTTTCTAATTATGAATGAGTTAAATTTTATTTAATGCTTGTTCTGTATCTGTTAAAGTCGTATTGTTTTTCTTCTGTATTTTGTCAATGTGGATTTTTGCACATTGCTAAAGTAAATTGCATTGATGGATTTATGAATGTTAAATGAACCTTCAGTTCCAATGGAAAATTCTGCTTGATCAAGATATATTGTCCTTTTTTATCTTGCTGGATTTAATTTACTAAAAATGTATAAAGAATTTTTGCATCATTGCTGAGAGATGTTAGTCCATAGTTTTCTTATCATGTCAGCTCTTTATGGGCAGAGACAGTCTCTCATTCATTATTGTATCCCAAGCCCCTTCACCAGTGCCAACCACAGAAAAGGGGCTTTACAGATAAATAGTTTTTAAGAGAAGTTAAAAGACCTAGGATGGAGACCCACATTCATTAATTTAAATTATTTAAAATATTAATGAATGTAACTCATTTAGCAGGTATTTGCCTTCCAATTGTGTGTCAGGTACAGTGCTACTCAGAAGGGGTTTTCTTCCTCCATCTCTAGCCACTCCTTCTTTTCTAATTGTTTCTCATTTCTCTAAGCTCTAAACATTGGAAAGCCAGAGCATAGAGTCCTTGAGTCTCTTTTCTTGATCTTTTGTTGATGTTATCTGATCTCATGGCTAGAAGCATCATCTCTAAATGAACAGCTCCAACCTAGGCCTTTCCCCTGACTCTAGCGTGGTATATCTACACTTGCTCAATACATCATCACTGGATACTTAGCATGTCTGAAGTTGAGCTAATGACCCTCCCTCTCAGTCTTCTCCATTTCAGGAAAAGGTAGCTACAGCCTTCCAATGGCCAGGCTAGAAACTGTGTCATCATCCTTGACACCTCTCTATCTCTCCCATCTCATTAACCATCCTCAACAAATCCTGACAACTCTACCTTCAAAATGTATCTATCACCTTTCTCCACTTCTGCTGTCATTCTGATCCAAGCCATTACCATCTCTTGCCTAGGTTATTCAGTGGTCACCAGCTAGTCTACATAATTCCCCTTTGCAGTTTTCTCAACACAGGTGCGAAAACCATACCTTTGAAATGTAGATTAGGTCATATCCCCTGCTTCCCTAAACCCTCAGGAGGCTTTGATCTTTCCCAGAATAGAAATCCAGAACCCTTAAAACTTCCTATAAAGCCCCCTTGTGATCTGCTTGACTTTAGCTCTTAATTCTTCCTTTTACTCGCTTGGCCCTAGCCACGGTGACTTCCTTGCTGTTGCTTAAACATAGTAATTCTACTCCCACCACAAAGCCTGTGCTGTTACTCTGCCTGGAATGTTCTTCCATTAGATCTTCCTATAGCTTGTGGTTCATTCATCACTTTCTTTAGGCCTTTACTGAAATGTCATCCTCTCCTTAAAGCCCTCCCTGGCCATTAGAGCCAACTGGAGACCCCTCCCAAATATAAAGTTCTGTTGCTCTTCCCTGCTTTATTTTTACCTTAGCACTTTTCCTGCCTATCATATATTTTATATGTTTATACTGTTTATTCTCTGAAATCTCCAATAAATTCCAAGCTCAATAAATTCAGGGATTTTTGTACTATTCACTGTTGTTTCCCCAGTGAGTAGAACAGTGTCCATCACATAATAAATATTTTCTGAATACATGAATAGGCAAGTAATAAGTGAATGAATATAAGAGTTACATGATCTCATGGAGCTCATGTAAGAGTTGTAATCTCATGGAGCTTACAATCTCCATATTAGTGAATAAAATTAAAGAAATTCTAATGGGAGAAAAAGGAGAGAAAAGAAATAAATCCAAAAAAGGCAAGTACAGAAACTTGTGAGTTTTCCACATAACAGAAATGGGTTCCGCTAAGAAAAACTAGTCTATATTAAAAACAGAAGCCGGGTGTGGTGGTGTGACTATAATTCCAGCTACTCAGGAGACTGAGGTGGGAGGATGCTTGAGCCCAGAAGTTCCAGGCTGCAATGGGCTGTGATTGTGCCCCTGCACTCCAGGTTGGGTGACAGAAGGAGACCCTGTCCCAAAAAAAAGTAGGAAGAAATGAAGGTAATACAGTATCTTGGAAGCAGAGAGGGGAAAGGTCAAGAAGAATGAGGACTGTGTAGGACTTTGTAGTTGTTGACAGGGATCGTCGTCATCTACTTTAAGAGTTAATATACATCAGCACCCGTGGCAGGAACATTACCAATTCCATAACTGGTTTCAGACGGATGCAAGACTAGTGTTGTGCAGTGAAGCATGTCTGTGTATCATGCATAATTCACATGATGTAGGCACTTAAGAGCAATGCCATTTCTATAAATGACAACAGAAGAGAAAAAACGAATAACCTGGTAAGATTTTGTCGTTGAAAGTTTGACTGGAGAATGCCTAGTAGAGGAGCATTGTGGAGCAGTCCTGCTTCACTCGATTTGAAAGCCCTGGACCTGCGTCCTGTTAACATCAGCGTCTGCTCTGTGGGTGACAGCTTACATGCTCATTGCAGGTCTGACATCAGTCAGCTACTCTCATATCTTTGATTTGACTTTTACCAGTTTTTAAAATTTGTTTTTCCATTTCAAATCAACAGGTTCCATTTTTTGGGCCTCTGTTCGATGGAGCCATAGTGAGTGGGAAGCTGCTGCCAAGCCTTGTATGTGCCACATGCATCAACGCCAGCAGGGCTGTGAAGTGCCTCATCCCACTCTACCAGAGCTTGTATCTTTTTGCTTTAAATATGTAACTTACTAACCATCCCAGAATCAAGATTCCTGGCAATTTTTCATAAGAGGTAAGTATTCAAAACGGAATTGAAGAGGGAAGAGAATTTTTTTCAGTCTCTGTTAAAAATAACATAGTGTGGTTTTTCATAGCATTTGTTAATTTGTATTAAATATAACAATTTTGTACTGCATTAAACTTAGAGTTTACTTTCATGATTTACTCACATACGTTTGTGTCTGAGAAGCTGTGACCACTATGAGATGCTCCTGTCTCCTTAGGTATTTTGCCCCACGTTCAGTCTCATCCTGTATCCCTCTTATTTGTGGCAACCCATTGTGTATAAGGTGGGATGCTGAGCAAAACGTATTGCTCATTCAGAGTGCCTACCAGAAACCACAGCAAATGAAATGACCCCAATAAATCAAAGAATGTGGCAGGTACCGCATGAGAACTGCAAGTAGGTTTCTGGAAGATCTGAGGAGATAGAAATTGCTTCTGGTTGAGAGGAGAGGGCCGCCTGAGAACTGCAAGTAAGTTTCTGGAAGATCGGAAGAGATAGAAATTGCATCTGGTTGAGAGGAGTGCGAAAGGTGTCCTGAATTAAGTTGCATTTGGACTTATCAATAGGAATAGCTAGACATTCTTTTGTAATTCTCCCAAATCATTGATATTTTCTTCTCTAGTTCCTGATTTTGTTTCCAAAAACAGAATATATTTCGCTCCTAAAATTTTTTCCTCAAACATTAATTGGCCTGCCGTAATCCTTAAATTCAAGCATGGTCTCAAGTTATAAGAAAAAGAGATTAAGATGGGTGACCTCATAAAACTGATGCAAAAAAAATTTTTGACCTCCTAATAAAACTTAGAATCTCTTTGTTTCTAATTGGTATTGATAATAATTTGAAACGTATTGTGTTTGACCTCTATATATACTTCTCCAAACCTAATAGTAAGTGATGTGTTGCTATAGCGGGTGAGAGTTGGGGGTGGATGAAAACTATCCCATGTGAATAGATACAGTTCATAAAAAAATACCTCTCATTAAAATCCTGGTCACTTTATTGACTGATATTCTGCCTTTAGATAAAAAAAAAAATACATATGCCATGTGGCAACTTAAAATTATCATAGAAATGAGTAGTAGAAAAGAGCTATTAGGTCCCATCTGGTCCCTCCCCCGGGGGCCAGGGCAGCATTATTCCCTTCAGTGTACCCTTTCGTGCTTTGTCCAGGCTGGTGGTGAGTGTTTTGGAGATGGCATTCTTTGCAGTGATTTCCACAACACTCTAGTCGTAATCTTATGGCTGGTGTCAATTTGGCCTTCAGCATGGAGTTTTTATTTCACATACTGTTAAAAAGAGCCTCTTGGCAGAAATGAGAAGTGATTGGTTTATCAGTTTGCATGTCAACTAGGACGAGCTGGGCACTCATCAGTCAAGTATGTTGGACCAAGGCACCAAAAAAAATTTTTTTTTATTTTACAAATGAGAAAATTCCATTTTATATTAATTCCATTGTGACTTTTGTCATGTCACCTTCTCTACTTATTGAACTTCTCATTATAAAATACTTGCTTTGTTATTTTGTTTAACACTGCTTTCCCAAATAAGAATGTGATACAATTGGAATAATCAGGTTTAGGGAAAACAGTATTTTTAAAAGTTCAAAGGATACTATTCAGCATCACTTTGAAAACTTTTCAAGCAGTGACACATCAGGACTAATGTGGATACCAGCTTGGGCTACTGATGCTATCGTGTGTTAGTAAATGTACTCTAACTCACAAAATAGCTAACTTGACATCTCAAACAACAATATAGTACAGAAATTAGGAAAAAGGTTTAAACAACTATTATGTTGATCATTATCAATATTTTAAACTTTTTTTTGTCTTGTACCTGGAGAAAATTTAGTTGATTTTATTCAAATAAATTGTTTAAAACAAGAAATCAACTGTTATAGATAATTTTTTATAGAGATGGAGCTAGTGGGGGAAACTTTGCAATCATTTAACTACTTTATTCTTTTAATTTCTGTCTGGAGAAGGGCTAATATTCAGGACAGAAATAAGGAATATAATAAGAGAAAAAAATAGAAAACAATAAGGAAAAGGGTTTTTTGGATTTTTACTCTTTAAAAATTACCAATTTTAAGAACTCTGGGCCAGGCGTGGTGGCTCATGCCTGTAATCTCAACATTTGGTAGGCCGAGGTGGGCAGATCACTTGAGGTCAGAAATTTGAGACCAGCCTAGCTAACATAGCAAAACCCTGTCTCTAGTAAAAATACAAAAACATTAGCCAGGCATGGTGGTGCACGCCTGTAGTCCCAGCTACTCGGGAGGTTGAGGCAGGAGAATTGTTTGAACTCAGGAGGCGGAGGCTGCAGTGAACCAAAATTGCACCACTACACTGCAGCTTGGGGGGCCACAGAGAGAGACTCTGTCTCCAAAAAAAAAAAAAAAAAACCTACCTAAGCTATTAATAATTATTTCCTTTATGTTTTGTTAAATCCAAGTCCACGTATGGTTTGGCAAAAGTCCATTGATTATGTCATACCTTATGTCTGAAATTTGCTGCTTCATTGAGATAAGCCTTAGATTTGAATTTTGAAAACCACTGAATAACTTAACAAATTCTAATTATAGGTGTCTTGTTACATTTGTTCATTTTCCAAACAACTACTGTGGACTCACTGTTGCCAAGTCCAATGCTCAGAGCTGAGGCTACAGCAGGGAGAAAGGTAGACCAGGTTTGTGCCTACATGCTTCACAGAGAAAACCTGCACAGTGATAAAAATATACACGAATTGAGAGAAGTTGAGTAAAGAAACTTTTAATAAATAGAGAGTTTGGGTAAAAAAGGGTCAAGGCCCAGAAAGGCCTATCCAAGGAGAGAGCATTTGGGCTGAAATTAGAGGGATGAGAGAGACGCAGTCCTCAGAGAGTAGGGATGGCGTTCCAGGCAGAGGGTACAAGGACTCAGATTGTTCATGAGTGATAAACTTGCGTTTTTCCAGGATTGTATGCATTTTCAAGTTCATCAGGTGCTTATGATGGACCCAAGAGCCAGATTCCAGCAGAGATGGTGTTCTGGTTGATCCCCGAGGAACTCAAGCTTGCCTAACTCTTTCTGCTCATGCCCACCTTGGAAATTCTCATCTTAGCACAGCATCCAGAGTAAACTCCCACAGCTGCCTGATGTCAGGTGCAATAAGTGGGGAGGGAGTGTAGGGCCCACCCCGCCCCCAGCTTATGTAATCTCCCAAGGGCTGAGGAGATCAGCAGTACCTTGGGCACACCTAGAACCAGGGCTGGCTATACAACCTGAGGGTCCCAGTGCACAATGAAAATATAGGGCTTCTTGGCCGGGCGCGGTGGCTCAAGCCTGTAATCCCAGCACTTTGGGAGGCCGAGACGGGCGGATCACGAGGTCAGGAGATCGAGACCATCCTGGCTAACACGGTGAAACCCCGTCTCTATTAAGAAATACAAAAAACTAGCCGGGCGAGGTGGCGGGCGCCTGTAGTCCCAGCTACTCGGGAGGCTGAGGCCGGAGAATGGCGTGAACCCGGGAGGCGGAGCTTGCAGTGAGCTGAGATCTGGCCACTGCACTCCAGCCTGGGCGACAGAGCGAGACTCCGTCTCAAAAAAAAAAAAAAAAAAAAAAAAAAAAAAAAATAGGGCTTTTTTTTCAAAACATAGGAAAAAATGCCTTTAAAGCCCCTAAAATATAAAGGTTTTCCCATTTGTCTGTAATCTCTCAACTTGTCATCATATTTTTTATTTGCTATTTAATGTTATTCTAACTAAAGAAATGTTAAAAATTTAAATTGTTAGCATTATCTTTATTTATTTATTTATTTATTGAGATGGAGTCTTGCTCTGTTGCCCAGGCTGGAGTGCAGTGGCGTGATCTCAGCTCACTGCAACCTCCACCTCCTGGCTTCAAGCGATTCTCCTGCCTCAGCCTCCTGAGTAGCTGGGATTGCAGGTGCACGCCACCACACCCAGATAATTTTTTGTATTTTTGGTTGAGATGGGATTTCACCATGTTGGCCAGGCTGGTCTCAAACTCCTGGCCTCAAGTGACCCACCTCGGCCTCCCAAAGTGCTGGAATTACAGGTGTGAGCCACTGCACTCAGCCCCTAAATTGTTAGGACTATCTTATCACTCATCTCCCATCCAGTACTAGCCGGGCCCGACCCTGCTTAGCTTCTGAGGTCAGACAAGATCAAACGCGTTTGGGGTGGTATGTTTGCAGACATACCATTTTTCTTTATATTGTGCAATGCCAGTTTAATATGCAAATATGAGTATTTAGCTTATATATGGAATCACTGAAATGCAATTCATATTTCATAGCTTATGCATGCATATATATTTTGTTCTTACCAGAAGAATGGGAACACCACACAAAACCAACTGAGTATTTCACTCTTTATGTGCACGTATTCTACCAATAGTCTGTACTATCAGTTTATTGATTAGCAAGAGAGGATTGACAGGTAAAGAGGCTATGCTTTTTCCTTTCCTTTATTGTCACCATAAGTGATCAGCTAATACAGGGAAGTAACACAACTATGAAGAGATATGATAGGGTTCCTTCGTGTTCATGTTTCTTGGGGCACTACTGCTTTCTTTCTGCATTTTAAGCAAGTTCTGAATCAGGAGAGTGTGACTCCTCGGGGAGTCAGCTCCCATGAACACTCAACATAAAGGGAACACACTTCCCATGTGCAGATGTTCAGGTTTTGCGCCCATGAAGCCCTGCCTGCAGCCTGTCCCAAAACACCCCAGTACAAGGTGGAAATCTCTATTCCTGGGTGTTTATTAGAGTTGATTCCCTTCTTAAAGCCTGGCAGCATATCTGTTGGCAAAATTGTGTTGGTATATGAGCCAGAATCTGTTACTAAATAAAGCAGCTTGTATGAACAGCCCTACAAGAGAAGTTCATTTACAAGACAAAAACTTCTGAAAAGGAATTACTATTACC